CTGTTATTTTTATTCAGCTCGGCCTTAGAGAACAGCAGCAGTTCAAAAGTGAATCTAAAGGTCACACATTATTAGTCGACATATGAGGAATTTGTGTTTGGAGCTGTGTGATTATTATTAGATTTCATGTGGGAAGAACATCTGACAACTGGTGTGAAAGGTCAGTGGTTTTGGAGCAGTTTGTACCTGAACACTGAAGGTCATCACAGTGTGTATGTAACGACTGGTCCCTTAATATTAAAATGAGGCGTGGAAAATCCTGCGGAGATCACATGTTTACGTTTACAGCACATTGACACCGTCGTCGGCTCTTATCACCACAAACTCTCTTGACATCTTTGGTGACATTCCCTTTTTTAAATTTTTGTGTCTCTCTCTGGACTTTCTGCAGACTCAATACTAGGGGACCAGACAGAGAAAGTCTGGACATTTGTATTTATTCACCTCCGTAGAAACTGTGGAGGATCTCTGGACTTCAGTGCTCTCTGAAAACAGCTTTAGTGACAGAGCAACAAACAAAGTGCTTCTTAGTTCAGTGTTCCACTGATTTGACCAGTCAGTTGTGATTCATTTTTCCAAGTATTTTCTGACCTCTTTGACAGTAATGTAGGTCCATATCAGAAATCTTCTCCATGCTTACTCCTGAAAAAGCATATCACGTCTATTCACATACACTGGTATGTAAACAGGAAGCAACATTTTTACTCTGCAGTTGGAAGTGGAAAGCGTGAAATACATGTGTGAACACATGCAAATCTGTCCTCAAAGTGTCCTGAGATACGTACACATATGAAGGTGCTTTTGGATGCACAAGACCACATCCTTTTGGTTGCGTGAATGTAAATATGTCCTGTGCCATGTATGAAGGACCTTCACTCCCCTGATGTCCTCTGACCCGCTACAGTTTTATAATAAACCAAAAGTATTTTTATACATCTCATAGTTTCCCATACACTGAATTATTTGTGGTTCATATTCAATCATATGTTGTGTGAATGGCAGAGTTTTCCATAAGTCCTGAGTTGTTTAAAATTAGAGACAACAACTCTAACAGCAACATTAAATGTTACAAGTTTATACATTTTGTTATTAAAACTACAGGGATTACAGTTCCTTCCCAGCTTTAAATAAAATAGTCGAAATAAGTAAAAGTACTGCCTCAAAAGTGTGTAATGACTGACAACTTTAACTCACTTTCTTGAGGAACAGCAGCAGCCCCCCCGTCCCTTACTATTTTCACCCAGCTGGACATATAATATGTAAATGGGTCGGATGAGTAGCCACATTTCCAGGAAAGGGAAGTGATGACGCAGTGGAACGGACTGAGAGGAGGACGCAAACAGGATGCTATGTGCTTCCTGTGCAGTTTTAGAAATGATTTTTTTCCCATGAATTACTCTGAAAGCAAAATATGAATACTTCCTAATGAAATGTAAATTGTCATAAAAAAGAGTTCATGAACTTTTCTTCTTACCTTTTTGTTTTTTAAGGAGATGTTAAGACATTGAAGAGACACTAGACCCTGAATGGAGCTTGACTGGGGCTTGTACTGGCCGAGGTGAGCATGTGTTGTATGCACATACACACACACACACACACACACACAC